CCTACATGAAACTGTAGTTGTGTGTCTCTTGGGGGAATTCTGCAGGTGTATGATCTTTGGGGAGTGTTTGGTTCCTGGGAGGCTCCAATTCCCAACAGTTTGGATAGACTCAGGATATGTCAAAGAAAGTTTATAAACTACTTTTAATACCTTACATCTGGGAATCTAGGTGGAGGAAGAGGACAGAGGAACATTTAGCTCTGCCTTTCCTCTCAGATGACTATTCTTACTCTTGTTCGGTAATTTTATTATTTTTCTTTTTTTATCATGTGACTATTCTAATGTGATTTAAAATCTATTAGTATAATTCTAGAATAATATATGTAATACATTAATTTAAAATGTGTTATTCTAATTCTAATGTAAAGTCAGGTTCTTTGGGAATTCCTTTTAATTCTATTTAAAAGAAAAAAAAAAGAGTACCCAGATACAGTACTTAGAAGACAGTTGATAACAGCTACTGTTTGAATGAACTAATAAATGAAATAAGTAAGCTAATGAACAAATGCAATTAAATGGATAGAGTAAAGGTGTTTCCCAGGCTTATGAAATTGACTAATAAGAAAGGCTAAGAAATATTTTTAAAATAAGCTTAAACAGCATAGTATCCTCCAAAGAAAACTTGGATTGTATCTTCTCCTTGCTGTTTCTGTATGTAACATCAATACCCCAGGCCCGGAGATACACTGCTTTGTCTTGCATCTATTCTTGATGTTCCTCCTGTCTTGTCAGTAGTTGTCGGCAGCTGTCTGTCTTCGGTTGCAGCCTCACTGTGTTGTCATCTCTTGGCAATGAAAAATAAGGCTATATTTTATAGCATTAAAAAAAAATCCAGAGCAGCAACAAACAGTATTGTTATATAGTTTCAGAACATTCATTGCTTTCACTGACAGATTAAAGAAAGGAATCCAGGCCTATCTTACTCTACACCTTGTGTAGACTATCGTCTACTGGCTCACTCATCCCATGCCCCAAATATGCAGGATGTCAAAGACATTTATGTTCAGAACTGCTACTTCTCAGCAGCAGAGTATAATCATGATTAGAGGTGAAATCACTTACCAACTGACTAGCCAGATGCTGCCATCTGGCCGTCACTCCTGGAACTGACATGAATTGTCAATCTGCTGGACTCTTGCAGTGAAGCAGGGTTGATTCACTAAAGCACAGAAAAATCACCCCTGATTCAGTAGGAAGTGAGCAACCCAAATTACCAAGGGCAATGTTTTGAGAGTCAGGCAGCCCAACTCTACATGTGCAGTCCAAGGACTGGGCCCAGCTGAACTCCTAGTTTGATGTATATGGGTACTATTGTCTTGTGATTTCAAATTCTGCTTCATAATGGTGGATTGCATTGTGTGAACGACTGAAATGGCTTCCAAGGGACCTGTACTTTACTTTGTTCTACTGAAAGCCTATCTTTTGATTACTGATAATGAAAGCAGTATCACACATGGCTATTGTTCTTTTAAATGTCACCTCCTATATCCACAGCCACCTTTTACCTTTGCACAGAGAGATATAAAGCTCTGTGTCATATTCGCGTTCCTACAGCTGTAGATGTGAGATATGGTGTTAGGAAGAGAAAGAAGTAAAGAGGTTGTGGGAGGAAGGGCAGATGTTTTACTGATTTCCTCTTTGCCCCAAGAACAATGCATACAACTTCTGAAGGTATACTTAGCACTTGGATTATAGCTTCAGCAGATCAATATATTTTGGGTTATTTTTCCATTGGCACCTCCAGTTTATATGGTTTTATCTACTTTCTCTTATCCTCATTCTTTGTGACCAAGAATATGGTTTAGCAAGATAAGTGGCTACAGAGAAAACCTTACCTATTCATGCAAGAACAAACCCAGGATGTCAGCTTTTCTACAGTAACCAAGTAAACAAGACATAGAAAAATATTTGAGGACAGCAGGCCAATGTAGATACCAAGGGGTGCATGGCAAAGCTCTAGCTACAAGAGAAAATTGAATCATCTCCACATCATCCCAACACATACTTTTGGATCAGGATTTTCCCCAAATGCTTTCTCCAGTGCACCACCCTGACTCACAATAAGAACATCTTTTGACATTGTGGTCTAAAACACTGAGGCTGTGACCATGAGAAAATTGCTTAATCTCTCTCAGCATATCTCATCATCAGTAAAATGACATATAATACCCACCTCTTAGGGATGCTATGAAGAATAAATGGGAAAGTCAATGTAAAGTCCTATAAAAAGGCCGAGCACAGGGCACATGCTCAGCAAATGTTGGCAATTACTGTATTAATTTATTACTATTTCCATTTTTCTTGATTCCCTCTGCTTCTGTCAATCTGGATAAAATAATGAATGGCTACACTGAGTTGTATATATTATTGACCCCCTTTTATTTCGTAGAGCTGTGTTCCCAATAAATTGGAAGTCTGTTTTTAAACTATAAAATATCTCAGCTGCTAGATCCCTAGAGACTTTTTTCCTCTCCAAATTGCATAGAATTTTCTTCCTTGCATGTCACTATCCTTCAAAGGACTTGGCATTTTGGAGCTCTCCTTCTCTTTCCTTGCAAAGCCAACAATCACAGCTGACCAGGACTTCAATTCTTCAAATGATTTACTTACAATAAAATGACCTGCCTGTGACTTGATATTTTATTTTAAACAGCTTGTGGTTATGATAGAACAAGAAGCCCAGACCAAAAGGGACTAGGAATGCTTACCCAGCTGCCAGGACCATCAGCAGGTCAGGAAACACCCCCATCCCACTGCCATGTGATTTCCTATGAAGCAGCCATTTCCCTTAACACCAGAGCAGACTATGCAGTGACAATGCTCCAGGCAGACATTTGGAGAAGATGTGAGTTTTCGCAGCTTATGGTGTGATCAGTATAATAATGGTCCATGCCTTTGACTTGTCCTGTGAAGGCCTTGAGTGGGGGCAATGATCTTGAGTAACTTTGTCTCACCTCAAGGAGCTAGTACTGGTTGGAAAATTCGAGAAAAGGGCCCACATAGTTTGCCAAAAACTGTGACTTCCTCATTTTCTGAGAGGCTTTTGAGATTTTGTAATATGGTAATTTTCTAATAAGAGATGTTTGGAATACTTTTTTCTATTTTCTTAGGAAATGACAGTGTTTTCCATTTTGAAATAGACTAATCCAGAGAGATCCCCGTGCTGAGAACACACCAGCAACCTACTTCTCAAACCCATTTCTAAATGTAAATACCTGCAGTGAGGCTGGGCTTTCCGAGGTGGTACCTGGACCGTGCTCTATAACCTGAGTCCTGGGAAGCCAGGGCTTTTGGCCCATTTCAGGGCAATATTGGGAGCAGGAGAGGCCACCACAGGGAATAATGAGATCACAATAATTATGTGTTCACAAGGCAGTGAAACTGGTGATTTATAACTAATTTATTGGCAACCACTTTCTAAATAAAATATCCAGGCACTTATTGACAGAAATTAGGTAACAGGAAGCTAACCACTGATTGAACAGTGTGTTTTACAATGAGAGTGTTAAGTTATGTTTACTTAAAAATAAATCTTGAAGGAGAATAAGGGGTAAACTTGGAATTGTTTTTTTGAGATGAAGTCTCCGTCTGTCACCAGGCTGGGTGTGATCTTGGCTCACTGCAACCTCTGCCTCCCAGGTTCAAGTGATTCTCCTGCCTCAGCCTCCTGAGTAGCAAGACTACAGGCACACACCACCACATCCAACTAATTTTTGTATTTTTAGTAGAGATGGGGTTTCATTATTGGCCATAATACTCTCCATCTCTCTCTCTCTTTTTTTTGATACAAAGTCTTGCTCTTGTCCTCCAGACTGAAGTGCAATGGCATGATCTTGGCTCATTGAATCCTCTACCTCCTGGGTTCAAGCAATTCTCCTGCCTCCGCCTCCTGAGTGGCTGGGATTACAGGTGCTTGTCATCACACCGGCTAATTTTTGTATTTTTAGTAGAGACAGGGTTTCACCATGTTGGCCAGGCTGGTCTCGAACTCCTGACCTCAGGCAATCTGCCTGCCTGGGCCTCCCAAAGTGCTGGGATTACAGGCGTGAGCCACCGTGCCCAGCCAGAATCTTTTCATAACTTCCCCAAAACATCACACTTCCCTGACATTAATTGATAAAGTAAAAGATTACAGAGAAACTAATGTAATTGGTTTTTAGAAATTTACATAAAATAACCATGACAAGAGACTATGCCTGAAGTATTCCATTCAAACATCAAAATTATCTCTTGCTACCCTGAATGAATTTTGGTATTCATGCTGGATTATGTGTGTGTGTGTGTGTGTGTGAGAGAGAGAGAGAGAGAGAGAGAGAGAGAGAGAGAGAGAGAGAGAAAGTATAATAATCTGTTGCTATGTGGGTACTCGGGCCTTAGAAACTCCTCCCCAAGGTCTCATATTTGTAGAAGTAATATTAGTTTACTATTTGACAGAAAAAAACAATTTGCCTCTCTTGAAAATTCTGCTTAGTGACTATGAGCCCTGGATTTTTTTCATCTCTCTCTGTACATCAACTTACCATTCTTTCCCTCACAGAGAGGTAAAGTCTACCTCCCTAATGACTTGTAAAAAACTGACTAATAAGGAAAAAGGTGGCCAGGCATGGTGGCTCAAGCTTGTAATCCCAGCACTTTGAGAAGTCAAGGTGGGTGGATCACCTCAGGTCAGGCGTTCAAGACCAGTCTGGCCAACACGGTGAAACCTTGTCTCTAGTAAAAATATAAAAATTAACCAGGTGTGGCAGTGCATACCTGTAATCCCAGCCACTCAGGAGGCTGAGGCAGGAGAATCATTTGAACCCAGGAGGTGGAGGTTGCGGTGAGCTGAGATTGTGCCATTGCACTCCAGCCTGGCGACAGAGTGAGACTCCATCTCAAAAAAAAAGAAAAGAAAAGAAAAGAAAAAGGCATTTCTATTCTATGCAGTCCTTGCAGGGAGAAACCAAGAAGAGAAAATGGGATAAAGATCAATATGCCCAGAATCAGTGAGAAGACTCTGATTCTTATTGATTTCAGAGACATTTTTATTTATTAAACATGTTGTCAAACAGAAAACGAAAGGTCAAGGTGGCTCTTTCTTTGGGCCCTTGGCAATGAATATTGCCACCACTGTTGTGGGGTGCAGAGGAGAAATGTAAGGCAAGGACAGTAGAGCCAGCACTGGACCAGTGGCCCGCTGGTTACGGACGGAAAATGGACTCATCTAAGTGGACAGGTAAGCCATTTTCACAGGCAACAACAACATTTCTGAACCCCGCTGTGGCTCGGTACTGGCATGGAGGCCGGGGGGACCCTCCTCTATGCTTGCAAATGGTGACCTGGAAAGCAGACTTGCTTATTCTTTTGTTTCCATTGTAAGACTCTCCATTCTCAGTTCCACAGATGGCCTTGATGCTCTCCTTGTTGCCATGAATAAAGGTGTTGGTTCCTTTGCAGGGTGAGATCATGTTCCTTAACCTCATCATTTTTTCACAGTATCTGTCATTCCCATTCCTTGTTTTAGGATCATAGTGCTCTTCCAGGAACCTGATGTACCTGATGTCATTTTGAGCCAGAGTTGGTGGGGTCAGACCCAGACCCAGAATGAAGACCAACAACAAAAGGTGCAGGCCCATCACCATCTCTTCCAACACAGGCTCCTGCCAAGGGCAAAAGGAGACGTGGTAGGGGCAAGAACAGCGTTGTCAAATTAGGCTAAAGGGACAGGAGCTTTGCTGTCTGATATGGCATCATGAATCAGATCTTTTCCACCACCAAATTATATCTTTTCTTTTCCCTTCCTCATTAACCTCACACCTCTTGTCAATCCATTCCTCTGGAAATTTAGTGTCCTGAGCGTAACCTCTAGCTCCAACCATTCTTTCCTATCCCTTAGAATCACTGAGTATTTCTCTATCAGTTGTGACATTACAAAATCCACTGTCTCTTTAATTCATTTATTAATTAATTGAATAACAAACCTTACATCAGTCCCTACTGGTACCAGGGACTGTGCTAGGTCCTGAGACACAATGACCATTAAGACACACCAAATGCCTCCCTAATAGGAAATAAGGCATCCCTAGGGAAAGGATGGGGGCTTCAATGTACTGATATGAGAGTAACACAGGAAGTAAGAGCTAAGAAGAGAGAATTTTAAGGGAGTGGTCCCCAACATTTTTGGCACCAGGGACCATTTTCATGGAAGATAGTATTTCCATGGAAGGGTGGGAGATAGTTTCAGGATGAAATTGTTCTAGCTCACATGATCAGGCATTAGATTCTCTTAAAGAATGCACAATCTAGATCCCTCACATGTGCAGTTCACAATAGGCTTCCAGCTCCTATGAGAATTGAATGCTGCCTGTTGATGTGACAGGAGGCAGAGCTCAGGCAGACAGGCCACAGATTGGAATTTGGGGACCCCTGTTTTAGGGAACCCTGAGCCCAGGGAAGGGTCAACCACAGAATTGTTTACAACAGGATTCTCGTTAATTAGTCAGCTAATGTAAAGAAAGCAGTTGAAAGCAGTTTTATCCTGAGGTGAAAGGAAACAGATCTACTTCTCCAAGAAGTAGGTGGTTCATGGCCAAAGGTAAATTTCTTATGTACTGTTTAGAAAGAAGAGGGAGGAGCATAGAAAAAGACACACAATGTTTGGAAGATGGGTCTGGATCAACTATTTTTTTTTTTTGAGACGGGTCTTGCTCTATCACCAAGGCTGTAGTGCAGTCGTGCTATCTCGGCTCACTGCAACCTCTACCTCCCAGGTTCAAGCAATTCTCCTGCCTCAGCCTCCCAAGTAGCTGGGATTACAGGCACATACCACCATGCCTGGCTAATTTTTTTTTTTTTTTTTTTTTTAAGTAGAGGCAGGGTTTCACCATGTTGGCCAGGCTGGTCTTGAACTCCCAACCTTGTGATCCGCCTGCCTTGGCCTCCCAACGTGCTGGGATTACAGGTGTCAGCCACTGTGCCCGGCCTGGAATCAACTCTTACAGAGAAGAAAGAGGAAGTCATGCTTATTCTTAGGAGCTTCTCACATTGGAAGCAATTGAGATTATTCTAGAGAATATTTTCTAGTTTCTCCTACATTTGTACATACGCTGTTACACAACAAGCAAATGGTGCCACTATGTGATAAAAAATGCCTTAGACTTTTTCATCAACTCAAAGGCCTGATAATTTGCTCTAATGATTTCTTAACATCTTTTCAAAAGAAGAATGAGAAAAAGAGGATTCCTGTCATCACCTCTCAAGAGCTGTCTCAAACTGTAGAACGCACACATCCCAGGAATGGTGCATCAAACACACCTTTAGGTAAATACGATGCTTCTTCCTGGTGCATAATTTTAACTCAATGACTGATTATTGAAAATAGAACTAAAATAATATGAATTATAACAAAACAGAAAGCAAATTTCTTATGAAATTTAAATATTCTATTGCTTATGAAATTTCAAGATTAGAGAATTGAAAGGTACTTGGTAATTGTGACAAGTAGTTTCTGACTATATATATATATATATATATATAGTTTTTTTTTTTGCAACTACCTCTGCATTTTTTCTCAAGTGCATCTGCATATATTTTTAATTCTCTGGACTTTTTTTTTGTTTGTTTGAGATAGAGTCTCTGTAGCCCAGACTGGAGAACAGTGATGCGATCTAGGCTCACTGCAACCTCTGCCTCCCAGGTTCAAGCGATTCTCCTGCCTCAGCCTCCTGAGTAGCTGGGATTACAGGTATGCACCACCACACCTGGCTAGTTTTTGTATTTTGGGTAGAGATGGGGTTTCACCATATTGGTTAGGCTGGTTTTGAACTCCTGACCTCATGTTCTACTGGCCTTGGCCTCCCATGCTGGGATTACAGGCATGAGCTGCTGTACCCAGCTGGACAAAATTTTTAAGACCATTCAGAGCCTTTAAAAACCATTACAGATCTAATCCACATTATACCTAATATATGTGAATGCCCCTATTCATTTGACAATAAAAATAACTTTCACTGTAAAATTTTGCCTGATTTTTAGAATTTTGCTTTTTAAATTGTTTATGAGTAACTCACTGTATTTGTAATTGGCTATGATTTTTTGGTAGTCATCACACATACTGAGAATTTCTCACAAAGGGAGGAAATTATATTTAATTACATAATTACATTTAAGAATGTAATATAATTCTTATGACCCCAATGTAAAAATAAATGGTTCATTTCATAGGCATTAAATTGTTAACTTTTTATTTTGTGCTTCTCTTGTGTGTAAGTCAATGAACATCTTCATATCAAATAGTTCTGTAGCCCTAGCAGGAAGTGCCAATGTTATAAAAGTTGAAGGGAATCTGAGCTTAAAAAGTCCTAGCACTAGGCCTGTGGTGTGGCTAGCTTCTTCTGAGAGCACGACCATGGATCTAGAAAGACACAGGACTCCAGTGTTCTGTGGTTACATGGGAAGGCATGACTGGGTGAGCATAGTGGGCTCTCTTTCTAATTTTCATTTGGTATTGATTCCATTACAAATGATAATCTATAAACTTAATGGAAACATTTCCAGCTGCTATTTACTTCAGCATTGTGGAATGAAAAAATTCCTTGGCATGTAATTTGGTATTCTTCAGCAGTGTATAAAATTTGTCTGCACTGACATTTGTCTATATTTGAGAGAGTTGCTACCTCTAAAAATCTGAAATTCCATGGTGAAAGTGTGTTCTTGGGAGTTTATCAAGAAAGTGGTACATAATTGCAGAATGGAGAGCCAGCCCTAAATGTGTAACAAGTACTCAATCATGCAGCTGCTCCAAATACAGCTACTGGGCTGCCAGGCCACCCATTTGCCACGTTCTTCATGTTTACATCATGCTTTTCAGTCTCCTGCGTGTGTTTCCTATTTCTAGTTTTTTGGAAGATTATATCAAAGTTTTATTAATTGGTAATCAACTAAGCCTCTTGTTCTGTAGTAAACAAATACTGACCTCTAATGTTAAAGGTTTCCCTTACATACTCAACATCCTTCTGTCTGGTGCCAGAATCCCAGAATTCAAAAATCAGGAAGCAGAACCAGGGCTGCCAGTACCTAAAAGAGTCATTAGGTGGCAGTGGTGGATAGGAATGTTACTAATGTCTTCTCTAGGGCAGACAGTACTTGCAGGAGGTGCCAATGCTGTACAAGTTGTGAGGTTATTGCTGTTCACAGAAGGGAGTATGAGCCAGTGAGCCTGTTTAGAATCTCCATCCAAACTCTCTGCGCTAGATATTAAGACCAAGAACACCTTACTAGATATAAGTGCTAAAGCAAAAGCCACAAAGCTCAGGATCTACCCGTAAGGATATCACAAAATAAATATTACAGTGCCATTTCCAAACATGCCACTACCCAAGTGATGCTCGGCAAACAACAGATTATTCACTTGTTAGTGTCTCTTACTGGTATATATTCTACAGAACTCATATTATTCACCTTGAGTCAACAACATGCTTGCTTCATAATAAATCCTCAATAATATTTTTTAAATAATTGACTTCATTTTTCTCTCCAGGCCTGGGTTTGTTCATCAAGAAAATAAGAGAGTTGCTAGCTTTAAAAATCTGAAGTTTCATGGTTCTCATTAAGAATAATAGAGGCTTTGCTAGTTTCAATAGCAAAGGTCCAGTGACTCTCAGTTACAGAGACAAATTTTGTATAAGTTTAGTTGGGGGCACAAGGCACCAACTGGAACAAGTAGATGACAGGGTGACCTGTAGCCCAATCTCACTAAGATGCATCATCCCATAGGCTCAATGTGAAAGCCAAGCTCACATGACACCTCTAAATAAAGCACTGGACATCACAGGGGCTTTGCCTCCTAAAAAGCCACTTGCTTTTTGAGTATGAAAGCTCTCATGTTCCATTCTGCAGAGGTAAAAGAGTATCTTTACTTCTGATTTGCAGAATATGCACATTCATTTTGCAACAAGACAACTAAGTTTTGCATGGGCCTACTGTAATCTTGATTCCCTAAGACATCCAGGAACCAAATCCCAGCAAGCGTACACCAAAACCACCAATATCTAACATCTGCTCCCTCACTCAAAACTTTCTCAATATATTCAGTTCTAAATCTCTCAAAAGCAAGGTAAAATGGAATTGGGAGAAAACCAGTAAGAGACAGATTATTTGTGGTGTAAACGTGAACCTGCCTAAGCGAAGGGTACGGAGTCCTCTAGACATATCCTTCTAGGCATATCCTTCTAGATATATCCTTCTATACCCAAACATGTAACTGTCGGTCAGCTCAGCTTTTTGTCAGTGGAATTAGTCCCAGCTGGTTTTTGTTTTGTTTTGTTTTTGAAAGACGGAGTTTTCTTGTTCTATTGCCCAGGCTAGAGTGCAGTGGTGCAATCTCGGCTCACTACAACTTCTGCCTCCCAGGTTAAGGCAATTCTCCTGCTTCAGCCTCCCAAGTAGCTGGGATTACAGGTCCCTGTCACCACACTCTGCTAATTTTTTTATTTTTGGTAGAGATGGGGTTTCACCATGTTGGCCAGGCTGGTCTCGAACTCCTGACCTCAGGTCATCTGCCTGCCTCAGCCTCCCAAAGTGGAAACATATCCTAAAGTTAAAAGAAGTCTGGGATTATAGGCATGAGCCATTGTGGCTGCCCCCAACTGTTCTTTAGAGT